AATTTATTAGACATTATCTTCAACATTTTACCTGCAATAGAACCATGGTCTATTGGCCTATGGAATAACTTCAACTTCTTTACAACACAGGCGACTAAAATTGGTTGCGATGCAGTTCTATATGTTGAATCCCTTGTTGAATCCATCATGGGAGGACTGGAAGGTTTAATTAATATTCTTGACTCGGAAGGAGGGTTTGGCTCTCTGGAAACGCAGGTTAGTATTCTTTCTCATTCTATTGAGATTAGGATCTAATCAAGTCTGTTATGTACTCTTTTAACTAATTTTATGAATTTTCAGCTTCTCCCTGAGCAAGCAGCAAATCTCATGAATTTGACATCCAGAATCTCTGTTCCTTCAGCAAAATCCCCAAAAGTGGCATACAGTTTTCAGTTACCAGGCTATGAGAGCTATCCTGAAAATGATAATTCTATCAAATGTAAGTCATTCTCAACTAATTATGCAGTTTGGTATTGCACTGTAAAATACAAGTACTTGAAATTTAATTTCTCAATGTTTGAATATTAATCTGGTTTTCTAATTTGTTGACAGGTTAGAAGCTGCAATGCAGAGGTTGACAAATCTTTGCTCAATCATGAACGACATGGAACCTATCTGTGTTCTTAACCATGTCTTCGTACTGAGGGAGGTAAATGACTGTCATCTCTCCATGCCACTTATGGAATGTAGACACTGGGATTAGAATGCCNTTTTCTTTGCTGTCTCAGCAATTTTCTGAAGATTTAGGTTCCAAAAGTTATTCTACTCTCAAATGGACTAGAGTTTGTTCATCACTGTAACTAACGAGTTTTGTATTGAGGCAGATGTGTAGATGAACTTGAAAATCAGTTCTCAAAATATGGGAGTCTGAAGAGACTTTACTTCTATCACCAGCAGCTTACAACTGTAAGTTAGGATGACATAATCTTTAATTATCTCATATATTTTTGACTCTTAATTTGAAAGGGCAATATAGGTTTTTCGGAACACCATGTTTGGGCCTGAAGGTCGTCCCCAACATTGTTGTGCATGGCTTAGTGTTGCTAGCAGTTTTCCTGAATGCGCTTCGTCAGTTGTTCCAGAAGAGGTAATTGATGACTGATTTCAAACTAATTACTCCAATGTTCCCACCTTGCCCCGTAAACCTGAGTCACTTGCAAATGCTAGTACCATGTTCTGTAAATCATGTATTGATGTTCCTCATACCTGAATATTTTACGGGGGAATATTTTGCATTCTAGCACTCCCTACAGAACCCATACAATAGGCTGAAAATGGGAGGAAAAATGCATGTTCAGAAAGAATTCTGTTTGAGCAGAATATACTTTATTCCTTAAATTTTGACACTTCATCCTTGGCCAGAGAACTTGAAACTCGATTACCAAACATGTTACCTTTGCCACTATTTTTCCATTCACAGCAGACTTCCCCCTTGATTATGTCATCCCTAAATCAGAAACAAATGC